CAGCTTTATAAGTTTTTAATGAGAGTAGTCTTCATTAATACAAAAGAAGGCTGAGAGTAAATAATTAGTTTCAATATTTTATCAGGTGCAAACTGCGTGTCTGCATGGGGAAGAGATGCGGCTCCACCAGAGAGCTCCTTGATTTGGCTGAGTGAGTGCAAACAAACCCACGGAGAGGTGATTCAGCCAAATCAGAACATGGGATTTGTGTCTGTCATCCCTTTTTTTCATAACAGGTATTCAGTCATGACTCACGAATAATCAAAGTATGGTTTCTATAAACAAAGATCTAACTGAGCTATGCTTTCAACAACAAAGAGAGTATTTTATACATCCTCCCTGCACATGTAGGATAAAGCCGGGGAGCACTTGGATTTAGACAGTTTCTGGGTGGTACCACAAGTGCTGCACAAGAAAGAAGAAATTTTTTTTCCTGCTGCACTGTTACGTGTCCCAGAGCACTGGGAGGTGGTGGACAGTGTTACATGCCACAGAGAATTGCTTTTACAGCTTTTCTCATTACCAGATGTATTTAAGAGGTGATAGTGATGTTTGAATTGAATGAGTGAATTCAGGAAGAGCAGCTTTTTGTCTAGGGTTTGCTCTGATACAGCAAATCATCTACTTTTTTTACAGTTCATGTCCCTTAGGGTGCAAAGTATATTTTCCCAATGGGCTTAAACTGTTTAAGAAGAGAAATCCCCCAGACCTCAAAAGAGATTCATATCACTGATTGCGGTATTTTTTGAAAACTCCATTCAAAAGATACTGAGTGCAAGTAATTATGCTGTGAAGAAGTCATCTTGCTACACTTGGAAGGGTCATCTTAGTACCAAACACCAATATTTAAGTGGAATAACAACTTTTATGTCAAGTCCTTACCTTTTTCTCTTACTAACTTCAAAATGTCTGAAGTCCAGTGAGTGTGAGCCACCCCTCTTTTGTATGCCAGCCAAGAAGTTATTGTTTGCTGACCTGTTTTTCTGAATTTTCCTGACCTGCGTCTGTACTGGCCATTCAACAACACGTTGTTGAGAGCAGAGGAGCGTGGCAGGGTGAGCTAGCTGGGCTGTGTGCAGCTGTCCCACCAGGCTGAAAGCCAGCAGCTACACCAGCAGAAATTAATGGGAGAACTTACCACAGAGTGTCCTTATTTTTTAAAGTTGTATGTCAGGTTATTTCAATACAAGCAGTGAAACCCAGATTAAAAAGTCAGGTATGTGAGGACATCCTGTGATGACTTGAAGTTACGTACAAGTGTCCAGCATGGGTGATGCAAAGTTAAGAAGGTCAAAGGCAGTGGAGAAGCAGCAAGAAACAAGTTTCAGGGAGGATTGCCGATTTCCAGTGGGCCCACTGGCAGATATTTTTTTGTTTCCCAGTGCAATGACATTTGTTTTTATTCGTAAAAGACATATCATAACTTGTGCTAAACTTTTGTGATTGAGTGTGAGGCTGGTACTGTGGAAGAGGAGCAGCATCACGAAACGTAAGCAAAAGTAATTCTGGACCATTGCTATGGTAATTTGACAGAAATCCTTCCACCTCCATCACTGTTGTCTTTGTCCTGTTGGTATTTTCAGTTGCATGCAGGCTTCTACTGGAGATGATCCCATTTCGTATTCTCCTAGGATAAACATCCATCTACCAGATCACATTTATATGGGCTGGAGCTGTGCCGTTGCCAGACCAACCAAGTGGGAAAGTTGGCCTTGCTTCATATAAACAGCTCTGACTAAGCAAGCCACACTAAATTTGGAAAAGAATTAGGGGAACTCATTTTTCAACTGCCTTGGAGTATTTTATCTCCAGTTGCCCCCATGTTATCATTTCATGGGAAGAGTTTCTATTACTCATGACTGTTTCCATTATGTTTATTTTCAGATAACATATTTTTATCTTCTGTAAACCAAAAGAGTTTAAAGATCCATCGGCGAACAATGGATCAAGGGTCCGTCTGCTTCTCTTCCCCCCCGCA